ATTCTCCTGTCTCAGCCTCCCAAGTAGCTGGGATTATAGGCGCACACCATCATGCCTGGCTAATTTTTTGTATTTTTAGTAGAGATGGGGTTTCACCTTTTTGGTCAGGCTGGTTTGAACTGCTGACCTCGTGATCTCCCTGCCTTGGCCTCCCAATGTGCTGGGGTTATAGGCGTGAGTACAGGCATGAGCCACCATGCCTGGCCCATATATTTTTCTTTTGGGGACTCTTTTTCTCGTTGATTTGTAGGAGCCCCTTGTATATTCTAGATAATAATTCCTTGTTATTTTTAGGAGTTGCACATATTTTCCCCCATTCTGTTATTAATTTTTAAAAAGTCTTTCTCTGTTCTAGATCTGAGGTACTCTGCATTTTTCCCAGTAACTTTATAGTTTTATGTAAAAGCTACATATAGCTACATCTAGAGTCTACTTTTGTATATTGTATTAGATAGGGATATGGCTTTATCTTTCTGCATGTACTAATGCCGTTTCCCCAACACATTAGCAAGTACTCTTTTGTCCATCAATTTGTAGTGCCATGTTTATGCTCTATTACGCTCTTATTTTTTATATCAGTCTGATTTTGAGCTCTGGTCCTTTTACATTGGTCTATTTTTCTGTTCTTGCAATAGTACTAGAGAGTTTTTTTGTTTTGTTTTGTTTGTTCGTATTTTTCCCTAGGTATGTTTTAATACCTAGTAGAGCAAATCTTCCACTCTACTTTTTTAAAGGTTGATTTAGCTGTTTCTGGGGTTTTGTTCTACGTAAACTTAGAATAAGTTTATTAGAAAATATGCTTTGAAATATGATTGAAATTGTATTGAATTGGTAGATTAATTTGAGGGCTAATTGCCATCTTCATTATATTAAGTTGTCCTATCCAAGAGCATAGACATAATTTCTTTAGATTATCTTCTATATCCTTTATTAGACTTTTAAAGTTTATCAGTAAAGGTCTTGTATATGCTTGGTTAGGCTAATTTCTAGATTCTATATAGTTTTTGTGGCCATTGTGAATGGTGTTTTCTATTATGTTTTCTAAGTGGTCATTGCTGGTATAGGAAAATGCTATTGACTTTTGTAGGTTGATATTATATTTGATATCCTTACTAAACTCTTTAATATTAGTTCTGAGAGTTTGGTTGATTTTTTTCTAGTTTGATGATTACCTTCTCTGTAAGGCATGCCAAACATAGCACTTTCTTTCTAATCCTTGCATTTCCTAATTCCACGCTTCCTTTTCTGATAGTATTTAGCTAGGACATTTAAAACAGTAGCAGTGATAGTTAGAGGTATAGTTTTTCTTGTTCATGATTTTCAATTAATGCATTTAGTTTCTTCGTTATTCATAACATTCTTTGTAGGTTTTTGGTATTTAAGTTTTACCAAGTTTAGGATGTTTACTTTTATTCTTTGTTCACTAAGGATTATCATTATAAATAGAATTAAACTATGTTAAATACTTCTTTTTCTGTATTGATTGAGATAAAGCATATGATTTTTCTTTTTGGTCATGTGATGTATTATATTGACATTTTCTGATGTTGAACTCTCCATGCGTTCCTGTGATAAATGGCAGTTGATCAAAATGTATTTTTAAAAATATAATGTTGGATTGATTATTTAGTGTTTTTATGTCTACATTTCATAAATGAAATAGCCCTAAACTTTCTTACTTTATAATTGTCTCAATTTGATTTTAGAATCAAGATTAAATTGTCCTCATAAAATGGACTGAGTAACCTTTGTTCTTTTTCCAGTGAGTGGAATCAATTGGATAAGGTAGTAGCTAATTATATTTTGGAAGTTTAGTAAAATAAACATATAAAATCATCTGGGACTGAGGGTTTTGTAGGGAAAATATTTGATTACCATTGCCGTTTTATATTTGTCTTGGGATTTAAAAACACTTCTTGTAAGTTTTCCAATTTATTAGCATATTGTTGATCATAATATACTTATAGTTTTAATTTTTTATGGTTTTCCCTTTTTCATCCTGTATTTTGTTTATTTGCATCTTTTCTCTTTTTTAGCAAAGATCTATCTTATTAACCTTTTGAAAGAATTAAATTCTGGTTTGTTAATCTTTTCCATTCAGGCTGTATATGTATATCTGTGGAGGTGGATTCTCTGGTTTTAAATTTCTGTCCTTTATCATCTTATTTCTCTGTTCTTTTGCTGTTTCCATTGCATTGAGTCTTTTAGTTTGTTGTTAACCTTTCTCATTTCATGGTAAACTTACTTAATGCTATATATTTACTTCTTAGTTGTTTACTGTCTCCTACAAATTTTTATTGTGTTTTTATTATCATTCACTTGTAAATATTTCTTAGTTGCCTTTTTCTTTTTAACCCAAGGTTAATTTAGTAATAAGCTATTTTGTTCTCAAACATATGCTAAATTTTGGCTATGATTTTGTTATTAATTTCTAATGCTATTGCACTGGAGTTGGAAAACATAAACTGCATGATATTGAAACGAGTTTATTGATACTTCACTTAACAGCTGTAATCATCGTCTCTTTTTGGAAATTTTTTTTGTTGTCTTAAATGTTGTATTTGTTATATATTGTTGTATTTGATAGAGAGTTCTATTCTATATATAATAGCTTGAGCTTTTTTGTTGTAATGTGTAAGTGTTCCATATCTTCACTTGATTTCTTTTTTTGGTCTGCTTGATCTATGAGTTCCTAAGAACAGCATTAAAATATCCACATGCACTTGCTCTTTTTCTTTTTGCAGTTCTGCTAGTTGTTTGATATTTTGAGACTGTATTATACAATATGTATATATTTATGATGGATATGTCTTCTTGTCCTATTGCTTTTTGTCATGTAGTTCTATTTAGTCAGATACTGAGACTGCTACCTCAGCTTTATTTTGGTTCATATTTGCCTATCTTATTATTCTATCTTATTATTTTCATTTTGTGACCCTAAAGTATATCTCTTCTAGTCTGAATATTGTTGAATCTTTTGTTTTAATCTGTGTCTTTCTTTTAATTGGTAAGTTTAATATCATATACATTTATTGCAGTTACTTTTATATTGGGACTTCATTCTGACATTTCTTTTTATGCGTTTTATTTATGGTACTCCCTTTTTCTTTTTTTCTTTTTCTCCTTTTCTGTTTTATTTCATTCTTGCCCTATTACTTAACGATCTGTCTTCATGTTATTTACCCTTATTGATTTTTTCTTTTTCTGAGACAGTCTCGCTGTGTCGCCCAGGCTGGACTGTAGTGGTGTGGTCTTGGCTTACTGCAACCTCCACCTCCTGGGTTCAAGCGATTCTCCTGCCTCAGCCTCCTGAGTAGCTAGGACTACAGGCATGCATCACCACGCCTGGCTAATTTTTGTATCTTTAGTAGAGACAGGGTTTCACCATGTTGGCCAGGATGGTCTGAATCTCCTGACCTCGTGATCCACCTGCCTCAGCCTCCCAAAGTGCTGGGCTTACAGGCGTGAGCCACTGTGTCTGGCCCCTACCCTTACTGATTTTTTACACATACAATAACTGCACTCTCTTCCTGCAAGATAAGTACCTTAGCAGGCTCTCAGGTTCTATATATTTTTTACTTATACATACCTCATCTTGTAAACTTTGTCTATAATTTTTGTCTTTTCTAGGATACAGGTTTTCCTCTTACTTTCATAGTTTTTCCAGGGCTGATTTTAGAAAAGGTAATACAGATCATACTAGTTTGCCATCTTGACAGGAACTGGAAAGACTCAAGTTTTATAGCAAATTAACAGCATTTATCTTGCTTTGAATTGCCCCACTTCAATCACAGGTGGTGAGTTGGTAACTTAATCAGTATTTTTTCCTCAAATAACAGGTAGAAAATGTGAAATTGTTGGATCGTTATGTGAGTAAGAAACCAGCTAATGGGATTCTTTATCTTACTGCAACCCACCTGATCTATGTGGAGGCTTCCGGTACAGCACGGAAAGAAACATGGGTATGTTCATGAGAAGAAATATCAAAGAGTCTTAAAGAGTTGTGCATACATGCTCTCTATATGGTGGTTTCTTGAAATTTCAAGTATAAATTTTAAATTACTATAAAACTTTTTCTTCAAAGGACCTGTGCTAATAATGTTGCTATGGCCTGAATTGTATGACTCCTCTTTCTTCAAGTTATTGGCTGTGGTCATTGTAGTCATTTTATTCTACATGGGTATATTCCTGAGGTTTAGCTAAATTATTTTTAGGTAGAATAGTTTCTGCTCATTTCCTGAAATAAGTTTGTAAGCATCGTGAAGTAATTTAAAGTCTTGCTACCCATAAAATGTAGTTCAAGAACCAGCAGCATCTGTAGCATATGGGAACTTGATAAAAATGCAGAATCTCAAGCCAAAGATTTTGAATTTCTAAAAAGGGCTTAGGTGATGCTGATGCTAAGGCCTCATCGACTTTATCTTGGGCAGCAGTAATTTAGACCATCTCTCTGTCCTAAGACAGGATTTTACCTGAGTATATATATTTGTGTGCTCACACACACACATTTGTATGTGTTTCTTTTTACACCTTTAGGGAATATTTTGTAATTACTTCAGCACTCCAACATTACTTTATGCCTTCCCTATCCTAAAGATCATAATTTAATCTTAATTATTAGTTAGATTTATGCTTAGACCTCTTCATTTATAATAAGTACAACATGTTTTTTATATATAGCATAGCTTAGTGATTAAAGCTTTAGAGCCAGTCTGCTCAGGTTGAAATTCCAGTTTCAATATTTACTACTTTTGTAACCTTGGGCAAATTATTTAACTTTTCTGTGTCCCACTGCCTTCATCTGTAAAATAGAGATAAAATAATACCTTGAATTATTTTTAAAAAGTCAAGATAGAAGAATTACAAAGTGAATGTTTGTAAGTGCTTGCAACAATGACTGGAACATGGTAAACACTATCGTGTAAGTATAAAATAAATTGAATTGAGTATGCATATGAAAGAAGTACCTTAATACTTCCTTTTAAAAATGAACTTCCCCCATAGGAGATTGTATCTTGCTCCCTTTGGTGTGATGATAAGAATGCCGAAAGAGGAATGAGAACTGGGCTAGAATAAGCTCTGATACTAACTGGCTATGTAACCTTAGGCAATAGATTCTTCCTCTCTGGGCTTATTTTTTCATTTGTAAAGTGAGTTGGTTAGATTATATAGTTAGTAAGGAATCTTGGAATTCTAACAGTTTAGGAACCAATTCTTTAGTAGTGTTCCATAAGCCTGTCTCCTATCTACCTACATTTATAGACAGTACATACACATGTCTCCAGATTTGTTCCTTTTGGGTATTCTTTCAAACTCAGTGGACTCTATCTAGAAGGGAGAACTTACACTTATTTCTGCGTGTCAAAGGAGGCTTATTTACCCAATTAGGGAAGTTCTTCCTAGCCTTAGTCTGCCCTACCTCCCTCCTACCCTTCCCAGTTTCACCACAATTGTTTGCCTGGGCCCTGATTTCGATTATCAGTATCATACTACCCAAACACACATCTCTCATGTTGAATGGAAGATCTTTGATTTTCTTGAGATTGAATAGATTAATTCCTATTACATTTTGTGATACCGCCAGAACTGCTATGGCAGGACTTCAGTTTGACAAAACAATTAAGATGGAAATTAATCACGCCTGTAATCCCAGCACTTTGGGAGGCTAAGAAAGTAGGATTGCTTGAGGCCAGGAGTTTGAGACCAGGTTGGGCAACAAAGTGATACCTAGTCTCTACAAAAAAAAAAAAAAAAAACATTAAAAATTAGCCAGGCATGGTAACACACAACTGTCATCCTAGCTTATTCAGGAGGCTGAAGCAGGAGAATCTCCTTTGAGCCTAGGAGGTTGAGGCTGCAGTGAGCCACGATCAGGCCACTGCACTCTAGCCCAGGCAACAGAGTGAGACACTACCTTAAAAAAGCAACAAAAGCCAAAATAGACAAATGAGATCTAATTAAACTTAAGAGTTTCTGCACAGCAAAAGAAACAATCATTAGAGTGAATCGGCAACCAACAGAATGGGAGAAATTTTTTGCCCATCTGACAAAGGGCTAATATCCAGACTCTACAAAGAACTACAGCAGATTTACAAGAAAAAAGCAAACTAACCCATTCAAAAGTGGGCAAAGGATATGAACAGACACTTTTCAAAAGAAGACAT